GAATTTTCCACCTTTAGCGTTCTGACATTTGGTACGTTTAACTACCGTACCAGGTGCTTCAATTTCACTTATTTTTGTTCGTGTAGAAAGCCATGTACAGATAGGTGGACTGCTGCAGACCGCTGTTGAAGAGAATTTGAGGTATTCGTCACCATAGTGAAGCGAGAAGAGAAATCATCGAATCTGTTATTTGGATGGTTCGGGCGGGATCTTCCCCTTGGTACAGTACGAAATAAATTCGAAATCAAAAGATCGTAAGAATGGTAAAACTTGTGGGTTTGGTACTCAAATTCCGAATAATGTGTTGTTAGCTCTCAGTTAATTTCCGCATCCAATCTAGGTTATGGCGCATTTACCTTTGTTATAACAGACGGAATTGTTGTTGTGTGAAAATACAAAAGGGTAATGCTAACAAGCTTAATTTTGTTATGCCTGTCGTTGTTGAGCCAACTGCAACCGCGAAAAAAGATTCTGCGAGCGGCTGGTCTCTAGCTCACAAAGTTTGAAAGCTATACCATCTGCTTTAATATATTTAGTTATGCTTCATTTATTAGTTGATTCTCATTTTATATGCCCTTTCCTCTCCGGCTTATATTATATATTTTGCTCTATAATTCCCACTTCTACCTCCCATTTCAGCTGCGCTTGGATTATTAAACACGCGTAATGATTGTCCACGCTCCTATTCCTGAATCAGAAACGAAAAACGGTCCTACAGAACAAGCTATTCCTGGGAGAACAACAGCTTCAGAGCCCAGGACCGTAGAAAGCTCCAGAAAAGGAGAAGGCTTATTTACTACACTTTGAAAGGAGTTTGCAGCCTAACCTGTGCATTATTAACAAATGAACAGATAAGCACACGATTTAAGATTGCTTTAGAGTCTACATAACATAACTTACTCAAGTAAAAATGTTTTCTAATATGTTATTCGATTTCTGACTTCTGTTCTAATAGTGACGCACGATGTGTCCTGCTTTGCACATTTAAGTTACCCTCTTAATCATTTACAGTAACTGTTCCCTGTGATGCCTGCTTTGGAACACACCAAGAAAACAACACACACCATTGAGGTGCTGACAGTGAAGGGACCACGCGCGATCCAAAGAGGTTAAGGGAGGAAAACCGAAAGAGATCTTTTGTCTCTTCTTGCTCAATAGAAGCTTGAAGAGGAGCATATCCCTTGCGTCTTTTCGGCTACCATTTATTGCAGCTCATTTTCAAATTACCACCATTGACTTCACTGAATTGACAGTCATTTATTGATCATAGGAGTCCGTATTACTTTCTCAGACAGAATTGGTCGCTAAGGAAGTCAGAACATACGTCAATGACGTCAACTATGCCCGAGAGAGCTAGCGAAAATGGTGACTGCTTTAATATGACTTTGGAGAAAGGTCACAACTTGGCCAATTGCTATGTATTCCTTTACCCACGGTATAATGCCAAGTTGTATATGTTGATTCGACCGAGAGGTAACATGTTCAAGTGTCAGTGAGCGTCTGCGACTACATAGGGGGACGCTTTTGTCCTAACAGAATTCGACAGAGCGGTTGGCAGGTCGGGAGTCCGAAACCACTCAATAAAAAGGTGAATGAGCTCCAGACAGCATGGTCTTATACGGAGACGAAAAACATCGTAATACCGGTTTTCGGCAACAATTTTTCTTCTCACTGTCACGTGCATGGCCACAAACCATTGAAAAATTGCTGTTGAGCATTCCAGAGGGTTACTGCTCAGAGGTATGCAAGGTATAGAGGAGCTCACTGAGAAATAGACATATAACACGCCTTATAAATATTCCGAAAGCAGCGGCCAGCTCTCTCTTAATACACCGGGAACGAAAAGAACTAAACATCGAGGGCCTTTATTTGATAACATATCGTTCTCGTAAAAGCAATTCCATTTTTTGGTTTCTCCTCTCTCTCAGTATCTATTTTATTTTTGCTCCGTTATTATCTTAACTTCACTTTTCTGCTTCGATATGGTCAAAAAAATGATGTAACCTATTTCATATTCCTGCCAGAATTTCGCTGCTATTTCGGCCGCACTAAAGTTTTCCTCCACTATACCTCCACAGTCGCCCATACAGGAGCAACCTAAGTCGCTGTTCAACTTCTGACAAGTGTGACGACCCTTATAAAACTGGTTTCAAAATTTTCTCACCGAGCGAGTTGAAGACACGACATTTAGCTTGAGCAATCTCTGGAGAACTTAGAACCTTGGACTTGCAGTTTATTTGAATTGGTTATTTTACTACACTGGTCGGCGGTGCACTTTCTCGTTTCGGCACGCGGGATGATCATCTACCACGATTTGCTTAGCGGTACGTCTCCCTAATTTCCTGATCCATGGGCCACTTTTTTATTACGAGAGTAACGCATTGTCTTTTTAGATGGCGAGATGTTCAGCGACAGCTTCAAAGAGTAACGCATTGTCTTTTTAGATGGCGAGATGTTCAGCGACAGCTTCAAAGTTATTAAGGTGAACGATTTCATCTGGGAGGTTGAAGGGAAATCGATCACCGTTAAAGAAGGTGTCGATGGTGCTCTTTTGGGGGCCAACCCTTCGGCTGAAGAAGCGGAGGAGGTCGAAGATGGCGTCATAACCGTTATTGACTTGGTTTATGCCCACCAATTGCAAGAGTCTTCGCCTGGTTCAAAGAAATATTACATGGACTTCCTGAAAGACTACCTTAAAAAGCTTAAGACCAAGATGGAAGCTGACAAAGTCGATGAAACAACCATAGCCAAGTTTATGAAGGAGTCGCAGGCCTACGTCAAGGAGAAACTCCTGGCCGACTTCAACAACTTGACATTTTACCAACCCAAGACCTCCAGTGATGAATTCTACTTCATCCCAATGAACTACCGCGACGATGAATCTACGCCTTACTTCGTCTTTTTTGCAAATGGCCTTAAAGAAGAGAAGGTTTAAAGAACTCCCACGGCGTGTGCCGGAACCTATTTTCGCTTGATCTCTTTGACCCGAATTGGCCTGGACACAATACACACTGGGATAGTTAACGTCTTTTTCATGCTCTGGGTCTCATGTCCGCCATGCGTGAATCTTGGTCCTCTTTGTTGCCGTCCATTAGCAATCTCCACGAAGGCTATGCCTCACCTCCAAGCCTGCGTCATTCACAACCTAGCTCAATCATACTAACCGAACAGTATGGAAATAAACTACCTAACAAACGAGAATGCGACTCCCGAGTCATTATGTATCATACTTGTTATTACCTTTCCATAAACGCCGGTTCGAAATGACCCGATGGCTGATCGATCGCCCATGTATCTGTTTTGGAGTGGTTGCCGTTGAGTATTCTGGCCTGACACCGTAAACGTGGTTCCGTTGCTCCAACGTTAGCCACTTGACTATTATGATAATTAGACACTCTACTTACTAATAGGGGTCGCTCACTACCTTGCTCTCCACCAATTACGGGAGCGGCGTATTTTACTTTGGCCTGGACATGTGCACTTTTGTAGATGTTTCGTGGAAGATGAGTGAGTCGGTGCTCACATGTCAGGAGCGGCGGTCATTGTGAAGCGGATACCTGGCTGGCAATCTGTGGTGGCGTATTATCTGTCGGGTTGATTATTATGTAAACTTGGAGTTCTGTCTCGATTAAGGGTGTTTTTTTTTAGTTTATGAAAGCTGTCCAAGAGGAGATGTGGTTGACCAAAATGATGGGCATCTTTTTGGGTTTGTAGCGACCTTTCAGTCTGAGTGGGCGTCCTAGCCTGTTGGGGTTCTCAGAAGCTATCTAGGAAGAAGTTAATCGAAGGGGTGCCTCAGTAACAGAAGGCAGCCATAAAACCGCGTCCTTGTATAGCTTCTCGACTCTCCCATCCGGCAGTTTCCCTAAGAGTGTGAGAGTAGATGCTACAAGTAACTGAAGTCGCCTGGTATGTGGGGTTTTCATCCTGGGCTGATGTCGTCTGTTCAGCTCTCAGTCATACATGTCTACGACGATGTTGCTACACTGTTGTGTTTGGCACCTTTGAAAGAAAAGGTCAGTCTGCTCTATCCTATGTTCCCAGTGAGGTCCTTCGTCGGATAATCTCCCTACTGAACTTTCTTGAAAGTTGGGTATAGTATGGGATCCATGCCAGTTCAAAGCAGACGACACGTTATATATGCTAGCGGAGTTGCCAATTACGATAGCTGGGGCCACCGGGAACTATCGACTGGTCACCTTTATTGCTTTTGTCGAGCACAATTCAGTGGTTCCACGAGAATGTCTGCACTACCGTTTACCTCTGTTGAGCTTACGTTGATTAACCAAATGGGCGCACCCGACCGGATGTAGTGTTTGACGACAACGATTGCTACCCGCATTCAAGCCCACCCCCTTATTTCTGTCCAATTCCACCGTCTTCAACTCTGGGCACTTATTGCATGAATCTTCCTCCCTGCGCTCAGGAGAAGTCCTATGGGTACAGGAGAAGACATAACCCTTTTTTTTCAGTTGGTCTGAACTTAACTGTCAAATCAGCCAGACTGAGCCAGGACGCTTTGTTAGCATTCCCTTTTTGTAGAAGTGGATCTCGTCACTGGGAGATCGAACGTATGCTATAATTGCCGAAATGCGAGACTGTCGTCGGTACTTCCTCCTGCTTCTCAGACGCCTCCAACTGACTGCTTTGCTTAGTCGCGGTGACGTTTTGTTCACTGTTTCGGAATCGCAAAAGATTCCCGAGATGACCTGTTAGTGGCTCAGAGAAACCGAGGTACAAGAAATTATTATCTCCTTGGGTCTCTCGCCGTCCGGTTAGACGGAGTAAGGACTGTTGCTGAGTAAAGTCATCCTGGCTCCAAATTTAACAACGAGCTTTCGGCGGGTGACGTTTATGCGGATTGTGTCCCCTCGAATGATCTCGAAAATAGCGGTGCCAAGGTTAGAGAGCAGGGTGGCGTTGTCCTACCTGGACGCGTCCGCACCGATGGAATACTGTCACCCGGACGGCATCTACCGCTCAGTTTAAGGTGACACTGTTTTGTTGGGCACCAGCTTCGACGATGAAGTGACTCCTTCCCTTGTCGTAAACTCAAGCTCCTATTCGCCTACGTTGAATTTCGAGGCTCACTTAACCTCTATGGCCTTCCAGGAGGCATTTCTCCCCGCCGAACCGAGTGCCGCTGGGAAATCAAGCAAACAGATCACCGTCTCCCACTGAAAACAATGGTTCTGTACCAGGTTTGGTTGTAGAGCGCATACTCGGTGGAAATGGCCTGTGCCACGGAGGAAGTCCGTTCAGTGCGTCCACCGAGAAGCCAAAGTGGTTCCGGCATGAAGCACTCGGTGTTAGTGTCATTGAGTTAATGCCTCCTTAGTCTGTGTTTCGTACTTTCGAAGGAATTAGGACGATATTACTTCAGTTAAGTGTGAATTGAAGTAAAGTTCACCGACTTCGTCTCAAATGAGACAGTCCGCGCTCGCTGCGATAACAACGCAAGAGTAACTCAGACCATCCAAGAAAGACGACTGAGGTGGCTCGGGCATGTTCTTCGTCGTCCACCTCAGGAGCTCAGCGTTACTGCCCTGGATCCGACACCGCTACCCCATTGGAGGCGTCAAAGAGGGGGTCAGTTCAAACCTGGCTCGACACAGTTCGTCAAGACATGGAGGTGGTTCTTGGACCTTCGGTACTCAACCTCCGTCGTTGACGGATCGTCAGGCGTGGAGAGGTACAGTTCGTGACATCATCGAGGCCGGCTAGATCAGGCGTGGTCTCAGCCGTATCCAGTACAAGTAAGTAAGTAGGCACTTCAATTCAACGAGGCAGACTTACTGTGCTATGATAACCACAACATTCCAAGTCGATCAAAAACGACACCAGAACAGTTCCTATAGACAGGCAATCCATGCTCACGTGTGGCCGTTCTTTCAGAGGCGATAGATAACTATGATGCAGACCTCGTCGGACACAGATCCAGCAACCCGCCATGACAATCACTATCAGCATTGTGTTAGGGAGGCCTGTGTTCGCCAGTTGGATCTTGTTCGCATTCCTAGACCGTGCTCTGTCAACGTCAGTTTCGGCCGGCCGTCACTGAGCACACCACTTAACTGGCCAGCGCTAGGATCTCCAGAAAGTCCTTCAAGCCACACATCTGTATGCCGGCCTACCGATTTTGGGTTGCGCCTTCTATGACTCCACTGAGAAATACAAGCAAGCTCTGATCCCACTCACGCATGGCAGCCGATGGTCATGACTCCTGCTGAGCGGGACAGTGGATGACATTGTTGTGACCAAGCGGTGTGAATGTGTGTGTCTGCACTTGGAGAAGAGAGAAGGCACCATAATGAGGGGTTTATTGTGCACAGAACCCAGAGTTTACCTCTCAGGCGGCAGTGACCACTGGCGAAGCCAGGGCTGGTGTTGACTGCTTCCAGTCAGGCCTGAGAATCCTTGGGACAGTTGTAGCAGCGTCTTTTGTAGGCTCGTGGGCCAAGCTCAAGTGGTGTCCAGTCAGTGTGTGTTGCATTTGCTGAAGGGTGGTGTCCCAGTGACTTAGGTTGTGGTTGCAGGGGGGAGGTGCGTTCAATCGGCCGCATGGGCAGCTGCATCTGCGCGGACGCAGGTATGCCCGAGCTGTCGGTCGTGAGACTTCAGGTCAGCGTGTCTGGAACGGCTCGCTACAAGGGGTGAATGACCTTGAGGCAGCGAGGTTTTGATGAATGACGCCAGACCTGTTATGATGGCTGCCCACTACAACATCCCTGCGAAGGCGGCTGGGTCGAAGTCTACTGAGGAGGTGTGGTTGTTACCAACGTCTCGAAACGCATTTGTGCGCCCACAAGCTTGTGCCCTTACCTATGCTCACATTCTTTCCCTATCCCGACGGTTTCACCGTCAAAATCGGCGTCTACCGCGTATCCCAGGGAATGGACACAGCACTGGTGACTTGAGTGCCAATTGCTTTATGGCGACAGCCGACTTGCGTAGCATCTTCTGCACTCTCCCCCACCCACCTAGGCCCGGCGGCAAGACAACGTCAGAACGACCAGAAGCCGTGTACGCGTGCCGCGCACGTGCCGCGGAGGTCACCTACATGAGAATGCTATAGAAGTCACGTTAAGAAGGAGTCGTTGCAGCCTGGCTCTCCGTCCTGGGAGGGCTGAGACACCCTATCAACTGGTAGTCTTCCGAGCCACAACTTTTTGCGAGTCAGGTTTTCTATATTGAGGAATTAATTTCTCTCTCACTCCCGTTCACCAGTCGACTGTCCGAGCCGGTCAGTTAGCCGGTAAATGGGTAATTTCTCGTGTCCCGACAGGCGTTACTGGGAATGCGCGCCCAGATGCACAGCTCACGCAGACAGTCTTCTGGCGTTTACTAATAAAAAAAAACCTATGCAATTTGCCACAAAAAACTGAAACACAGGTTTACTCTCCGGCGCTGTAGTGAACCGGAAGACAAAGTTGCCGAATCCCAATATCTTCGACGAGTTTTCAGAAGAAATGGTTACCCGCGCAACTTCGTCAACCGGTGCATGCGCAAACGAGACGAGCGAAAAAGTCGTGCCGACCCCAAATTCTGGCGAGCGATCCCGTATCTCAAGAACGTCTCAGAGGCCGTTATTCGCCTTCTTGCACCACTTGGGGTTCGAGTTGCACACAGACCGGAGGCCACCATGAGGCGTCAGGTGATGAGACCAAAAGACCCACTGCCACGGCAAGAAACATCTGGAGTCGTTTACCGGATCTGGTGCAGTTGCGGACAAAGCAACTATGTACGTCGGAGAAACTGGAAGACTGCTCCGGACACGGATTGTCGAACACGCGGCAACGGTACGGAGAAATGACGCCAACTCTCAGGTAGCGGCCCATTCGACAAGACTCGGCCACACATTCAAGTTCGATGAGGCCAAAATTCTCGCAAGAGGGGATAATCGCGTGAGCCGCGAGTTGCTTGAGTCATGGTTCA